TCCGCGACCGCGAGCGCTCGCGGCGCGTGGTCACTCGCGTCACGTCCCGCCTCAGAGCCATAATGAGCTCTTCATCATTGGGGAAACGGCCGTGCCGCGCGTGACATCCTAGCCCGCACGCACCACGCACCCACACGAGCAGAGAGCAGTTCGACCATCGCAACCTCTTCCGTTTCTAGAACTAGAAAAAGCGATAGCCACCAGTATATACTACGTACGCGCGTATAGCTAGCTGTCTCGCAGCACGGCAGAGCTCGCTTCCGGAAACAAACCTGAACAGAAGCGTTGGTGGCCGTGGTGGGGAAACGAGGTGGCGAACTCAGCCGGAAACAGACCTCGGGGAAGCTTTTGGTTTCTTGAACGTCCGGGCCAATGATTTTACCACAAAAGCCTCCAGGCCTCCCGCGTCACGCGACGGGAGCCAGCCAGTGCTGGGCTACGTCCCGCTCCCGATTTCAGCCGGAAAGGCGGCGAGAAAGCCTGCAAGCAATTTCGACACCTCGCGCGCGTTGGCCTCCACGCGAGCGATCGAAACTGTCGGAGCTAACCGCGACGCGTGCCTGGCAATTTTCGTACCGCTGCTAATCCGGGTTTGGTGCGTGCGGGGCGGGGCGGGGCCACCCAACCCCCCGGACGGAAATGCTCGCGATCGGCGGAGTACTGTGGTAGTAGTACGTTTTGTACCAGCGGCGACGTACTCCGGGAGGCGCGGAGGGGGAGGGGGGTAGAGGACGGACGAGACGAACGGTGGCGCCCGGGCATCCCGGCGATGTGGACGCGAAACCGGGCTCGCGCGGCCGCGTGGGTCACGTGACCGCGTTGCGCGGGCTTGTTAGGCACGCACACGCCGGGGAGGGCAGCAGACACACGGCCGTGGCCAGACGCGCGCGCCGCGCTGATGCAACCAGACACATACCAGCCAGACGTACGGGTGCAACAGTTGCGGTTGCGACAACAGTATCATGGGCGTCCATCCATCCCATTGGCGGTCAGGGCCGTTTTATCATATTACAATACCTTTTTAAATAGTTTAATATGGACTATTCCCTCCGTTCGGAATTACTTGTCTCGAGAATGGATGTATCTAGAACTAAAATACATCTAGATACATCTATTTTTGCGACAAGTAATTTCGAACGGAGGAAGTACATACGAATTAAAATGAGTGAAAAAGTAAAAACACATTAAAACACGTCTGTACACTTTTTTTGGGGTGGGGGATGGGGGTGTCTATATACATCTGATTCAGAAGAAAGTTTGACATGTTATATTTGTGAATGGAGGGAGCAGTAGGCATGAGATATAGCCATATAGGTTAAGCTGATGATCAGAGTCCCCGCAAAAAAAAATAAAGAGCTGACGATCAGAGGTGCTTGTGGTGGTGGATGCGCATATGTACGACTTTCATAAGTGTTAGGGGCGTGTCTATGTGTAAGCGTCTACATGTTTCTGAAATAACCATGTTCGATTTATCAATTTAATAGTATGACTCTCTTTGGATAAAAAAAGCATCTCGTTAAGAAACATGTTCTAAGATTATTAATTACTTAATAGGAGAATTTTTTTAGTTCAAACTAGATGATCCCTGCATGTCGTTGCGAAATGTTTTGCAATACATTTCATTGGGATTTGATTGTATCGAACACGGATATTTAAAGTAATAATATGAGAAGTAAACTGAAAATACATATGATTTATTGTGTTTGATTATTGGATAGTTGTAAAATATGTAGCATAGTAGAATGCAAATTCTAATGCATGTGGAGTTTTTTGCTTCCTATTCGTGGTTGCGCGTTGTAATGGGCCTTTTGTCATGCATATTGATGTGGAAGCAGTGCTATTTAAAACACACTTGGAATGCACTAATGCATGTTGCAAGATAGACGATTCTCATGCGTACATCGGAGGAGTGCTAGTGGATTAAGCTAGTAAATCTAATGATTACAACAATTTTGATGATGTGGAGGCACACCAATTGAGATAATTAGAAGTAGTGGGGCTCACTCTCTTGGGGTATATGGGATATGTCTTTCCATGAGATCAAATTACCTGGCTCTACCATATCGCGAGGTGGCTATGGCAAATTCATCCCCTCTAGCTTCGTCAGTGAGACCATGGATCCGTCTCCCCTATACCTGCCACTATGGTGATCGGTGGGGGGAAGGGGGATCCTAATGCCTCGGCTATAGGTTAACATTTCCCCCTTGTAGAGGTAGTGCTTGGACGGATAGCGATGCTTCATTTTTAGCTGGTGATTTGCGCTTCGATCCTCCTCGAGTTATCCATCGGGATAGAGATGATGGAACTCCGACACAAATTCGTGTCATCTCCATGGGTGGCAAGGTTAGAGTTTCTCATCATGCTTGCTCGATGGTGAGATTTGGTGTCGAGTACTTCAAAATGTTTCAAGGGTTCGATGGTGACGACTATAGCTCTCTCATGCTGGTCCTTATGGGCATGTGGACGAAATCTTTTTGGATGTCATCGATATGATCGAGGCGGCTCCATTTAGCGGAACAATGACAACATCACGCTGCCAACTCATTCTGGCAGCGGTAGCGGTCGTTCGGTGGCCCAAGGAGCTTGATGTGATCTTTTAGTGTAGGGCCTTGGTGTAATTTTCATTATGTTTAGGTGCTTCGTACTATTGATGAACCTTTATAATAAACTTGTATTCTTTTCAGGGGAAATGTTTCATATACCATTCTTCGTTGTAAAACATATACTTAGAAAATAAACTTATCTGGGACGGATATCTACCACGCCCACTTAATGGCGGCATACGAACGGACGAGGCATTGAACGGTTGTGGTAGATATCTGCCCCGTCTCGTGCAGTAACGCTTCTTCGACTTTGAACAGGCGAAGACACCAGAGACGCGTCGTGGGTGGCACCCTCGGCCGGTGCGCTGCTTCAATGCCAATGCTAGTGAGAGGTCGCGTCCGCTCTGTAGCGGGCTTAAATGGGGAGCGGCCTCTCTACAGTGACATGAGTGTGGGCAGCTGGCACCGGGCAGTAACGCGCGCAGGCGAGGGAGGACGGTTGTGGGTGGGCTAGGGTGGTCAGAAGCGGGCATGGGTGTTGTCCGGACGCCAGCAAAGCCCCTCACGTTTATCTCCGGTTTGTGAAAGAAAATGCGTCCGAACCATCTTACGAATCAATCCAGGACCGCGTTGGATGATACAACATGTCCGGACCGCGTGGTCTAGACGTATTTTGGACGGTTCAAAGTTGCTGTTGGGGATGAGGTTAGCCCATCGACATCTTTTAGTTGTGTCACTGTAGAATACAAGTAGGATTTTGTCAGCTTAAATTAGGAAAGCTCATTTCTGAATCACGATGTACACGAAAAACATTGCGGGAAAATCACAATCCAGAATTGACACATAACAAGAATAGACCCACAAATCTAATTAAATATAGGGATGCCAATTGAAATCTACCCGTGTTTGTAAGATTGAGTATCATGATTTGACCCATGGTGGGTGTAGCCATGCTTCATGTCCCCGTCTCCACCTTCCCATCGAGAAGTCATTCTAGATCTGTAGAGACTTTTCTCTCGTACATCGATTCAACATTCATTAGAATTATTGCCAAAGTTATACATGCAATACTGCATTTGGTAAATAATTTAGTCGTTTCAAGAAACTCCAGTATATCAGTCTCAATGGGGCTATTCGTTTTGAATTGGAATGGAACTCTGAAACAGCTTGAACTCGACGTTTTCCCGCACCAAGAAAGAAAAGAAAACTTGAATTCAAGCGTACGTGGCGCCAGAACTACCATCAAATATTTGGTGTTCAATTCCGTCAATAGTCCAGCCTAGGAGACACGAATTGACCTCGCCGTACGTAGATCCAATGATTGCTGGCCGAGGAGAGAAAGAGAGGCCGATCGAGAGGAGGAGTGGGAACAGAAGAAAGGCGTGACATAATTGGTTGGCTGGTTCATTTACGCATAATTCTCCTCCTAATTAGCACCACTAATCACTTTCCTGGTCATAATTAGCACTGGTATTAGGGAAAGATTGGTCCCTATTATCCGGGAGCCCGGTGCGGTACGCAGCCGCACTCTGGTAGCCACCCAGCCAGCTACCTTCCCCATCACTCGCAATCACGCCTTACCTGTTGCGCTCTCGAGCCCGGACACGTTCTTTGCGCTCGATCGCATGCGCCGCTCAACTGGCCGCCACGCCGAACGCGTTCTCTCCCGCCTTAGGAGATTGATCGGTCGATGCGAGGCTCTGGCTCGGCTGCGGAGCGGGATGGGACGGCCGTTACAAAGGGGGAGGAAAAGGCGACGACGACGACGACAAGTAGCGTAGGCGGCCATCGTACGTGAGCGCGGCGAGCTGAGCTGAGCTCTGCCTGTCGAACAGCTGGGAGCGGTGGCGGCCGCGCGTTCCCTTCCGTCTTCCCCTCGAATGTTACTACGTACCAACAGACGGCCAGGAAACGCTCGCGAGCCGTGCGCCGGAAGTCAGCCGGCTGGTCAGTAGTGCGTCCCAGGTTTGGGGTCTGGCTTGTCACGGGGCGTTACCATTAATTGACTGAGGCCAGCTCGCTTTCTTGGCGTGCGAGAAACTGAGAGTGTCTGTATGGACCGGCTCGACCGCACCGCTGCTGGCCAGCTGCAGCGGGCGTACGTACGCTGGGTCGCTCGGTCGTTACACGTAGCCACGCCACGGGACAGGCTCATTAGTGTGCAATCATGGACCGGTCGACCCGGCTAGGCGGGCCACGCAACCGTCCGTGTATCCGCCGCTACCTTCTTGCTCTCGCTCGCTCTCTCTCGTCTCCCCCCGCGCTCGCCCGCCCGCCCTATATATACCGGGGTCTGCCGCACTCCAGGATCTCCAAGAGCCCAACGCAGCTGAGCTACCACAGCTCCCTTGCCCTCCTCGACCTATCTATCCATTGCATCCCACCGAGCAAAGAGGAGAAGGGTAGCAAATCTACTATCAGTTGGTTTGTGTGTTCGAGGAAGAAGAAGCTGGTAGCATGGCTTTCCTGAACATGGAGCAGCACACCTGGGCCTTCACCTTCGGTATCCTAGGTACTTAATTACACACATGCATCCATCCATGGATCCATCCTACATTCTGTGTGCAAGTGCTTCTGTTTCTTCTGCCCTTTTGGAAAGGATCATCGATGATTCCGGCTTACTTGCACGAGTTGGATCCATGGTCCTTGCCTTGCTCAACACACCCTTCTGCCTGCTTGTGTGCCTTCTTCAATCTCTTTCATTGAGCTAAGCCAGCGTTTCTGTTCCGAATAAATGGAACTGCCAAACCAAGCTTTTAGCCTCTAATCAAGTGGTTACACCCCAGCAAAGAAAGGGAACCAACATGCTTGTTGTGTGTACGTTCACGGAGACAAACAAACGTACACACAACTGATTTTCTTTCCTTGTTTCCTTTTTTTTACCAGACAGCATCCACCCTAGTTTTCTTGTTTTATTTATTCTCTCTTTTTTTTCGTTGGTTGACACATAACTGACCATCTATCATCTCCGTTCTTGGTTTTGCAGGCAACATCATCTCACTGATGGTCTTCCTTTCACCACTGTAAGCAACCTCAACTTAACTGCACTCTCCTGTTCAGTCTTCAGAAAAATATACTGTAACCCTGCATAGAAAAATATACTGTAACCCTGCATACATCTATGTAGATCCATGCATGGCCCTTGTCATGTGTATGTCTTTGTATATATTCAGACTAGAAAAATATTTTAATAACTAGGAAAAAAAGGACCACGGTACGTCGTACAACACACATGACACATGTCCATGAATACATGACTGACGGAAACGGTCACTGTCATCTACACTGTTCTAGAATTTTCGCTTATATACCTGAGACAACATAACGCTGAATATTGTTACATTAATTACTAGTGTATATTACCAGTAGGGTAAAATGTGACGAATGTCACTGTTAGGTAGGTGCAGTGCAGTGCAGTGTACTACACATATCCGGGTTGTTAGTTAGTTTAGCTCCTCTGGTTACGCCAATGATTACTTACTTAATCTAGGTAGGCCCAGGTAAAAACAATTCATATATGCTGGTCGATGCATGGTCATTATTAACTCTGACGAATCTCTGATGCTCGCTTGCAGCCCGACGTTCTACCGTGTGTACCGCAAGAAGTCGACGGAGGGGTTCCAGTCGACGCCCTACCTGGTGACGCTCTTCAGCTGCCTGCTGTGGATGTACTACGCCTTCCTCAAGTCCGGCTCCGAGCTCCTCCTCACCATCAACGCCGTCGGCTGCGTCATCGAGAGCCTCTACATCGCCATGTACCTGGTCTACGCCCCCAAGAGCGCCAGGCTCCTCACCGCCAAGCTCTTCATTGGCCTCGACGTCGGCCTCTTCGGCCTCATCGCCCTCGTCACCATGCTGGCGTCGCACGGCACCCTCCGCGTCCAGGTCGTCGGCTGGATCTGCGTCGCCGTCGCGCTCGGCGTCTTCGCGGCTCCCTTGAGCATCATCGTAAGGACCCATTTAATCTTACAGCTAGATCTCTTTAAGGTTTGTGGATTGAAGGGATTAATTAATCTTGATTGTCTTCTTGCTGGTGCAGAGGCTTGTGATCCGTACCAAGAGCGTGGAGTTCATGCCCTTCTCGCTGTCCTTCTTCCTGGTTCTCAGCGCCGTCATCTGGTTCGCATACGGCGCGCTCAAGAAGGACATCTTCGTGGCGATGCCCAACGTGCTGGGCTTCTTGTTCGGCGTGGCGCAGATGGCGCTTTACATGGCGTACCGGAACAAGAAGCCCGCCACCGTGGTACTGGTGCACGAGGAGATGAAGCTGCCAGAGCACGTCAAGGAGGTGGCCGGCGGCGCCAAGCAGGGCGGCGCGCCCACCGAGGGGAGGATCAGCTGCGGCGCCGAGGTGCACCCCATTGACGTGCTCCCTGCCGTGGCCGACGAGCAAGCCGCCGCAGCGGCCGACGAAGACGTGATCCGCGACGACCAGAACATGCTCAGGCCAGAGCAGCCGGCGGTCATCAAGCCTGACGTCGCCATTGTCGTCCAGGCGTAGATTAGGTTTATCAATCAGCCCCGTTATTAATTCAGTAAGCCGGCGATAAGTGGGTACGCTCAGCACACATGCGGGCCTTCCGGCGTGGTCGCGTACGTGGCTGGCCAGAAGTTGGAGCACTGTGTGGCTGCATCAGGTCCGCGCATGGCATGGCTGGCTGTGCATGCAGAGATCCAGCTTAGCTAGCCCGACCGACTGCATGCCATGTATGAAGAGAGACCAGGAGTGAGAGCGAGTGTGAGTGAGTGAGTGAGTGAGAGAGATGCATGCTACAGCAGCTTTGTACTGTATTATCAAACATTTTATCAGCCTGTCACATGCATTGGTTTCTTTTTAGTTTACTTTGTGTCATTGTCGATCCATGCATGCAGTCGCATAAATAAATTTGGGGCCCATTTATTATTCAGAACAGAAACGCTACTCTGAAAGAGCTCATGAGTTTCGTGTAAAAACCTTGGAGAGAAAGAGAGATGTCATAGTTTTTCTTTTCTTTTTGTGTGTTAAAGAGAGATGTCATAGTTAGGACTTAGGAGGAAGATATAGTAGTGAAAAATGTGCGAGTCATGGCCTCGATCGTCACCCTTAACCGCACAGCTAGCGTGCTGGGTCAGGAACTATTCGAATGAAGGAAGCACAAGAGGCTGTGCGTGAGGATTCAACTATCTTCCATGGTTTAATGATATCTTTGGCTCTTTGCCCCGAAAGAAGAAGCTGTAGCTAGCGGCTATGGTACGCGATCGACGACCTATGCGGAGTTACAGTACGTGACAACGGTGATTCATCACATAATTCACCTTTTAGCTTTATAGGTTTAGTCACCATATGACCTAAAAGGTGTTTCTATGCCGGTATAACCTCAGCCGACACCGGTAGTCTGTCAAGACATTATTATTCTCGGTAATCGTGGTGTTAAGATTAGACGGTTCTTACGCTAAGAAAAACACCTTGAATTCTAGGTAGGTCATCAGTGTCTCACGAGAGATAACATCTTTTTCATAATACGTATATTAAATTTAAGATGATTCAAATTACATCCGGATTCATATTAAGGATTAATTAAGACATCAAGGATGCATACAATTAAACTGCTCCCTCCATTTTTATATACAAGGCCTCTTTGTTTTTCGTGTCCAGCTTTGACAGTTTGACTTACAATTTTGGTTAACAAAATATGGGTTATATTTCATCAAAAATATATTATGGAAAAGTTCTTTGAAATGTCCATCTAATGACATACTTTTTATGATATATGACTCATATTTTGTTGATAAAATTAATAGTCAAAGTTAGACAAAAAATATATTTTTCTCCCTGGAATCTGCAGACGCAAAACTAGTCGTGCACCGCACCTAGCTCTTGCTCTCGACTAGCTCCGGCGGCCTCGTCGGCCGCCGCCCCTCGCCCGCTCCGTGTGCCGGCGGCCTCCTTGGCCGCCGTCCCTCGCCTGCTCCGTGTGCCGGCGGCGCCTAGTGGCGACCTCAGCGACCCGCGCCATCATGCCGTGCCCTAGCCCCTCCACCCCGGCGCGGCAGATCTGCTCCACGCCCCTCTTTGGTGCCGGCGCCTCCCCAGGCACGCGCAAGCGCATTCATTTCTCCGCCAGCTCCTCTATGCAAGATTCCTCCACATCAAGCCCCCCGTCCTCCCTCACAACCTACGCGGCGGTGGTGCAGCGTCCTAGCTCCACTAGGGGGGGCAGCTTTGCCTTCATGTGGTAGTGACGCGGGCCTGCAGCGCAATGAAGGGCTGCGGCGCCATGATGAGGATGGGGAGGGATGGCAGATTCACAGCACGCACAAGCAGAAGCGAGCACGCATGCGCGTAAATCGCGGGGCGCCCATGCCGCACAAGCCCATTATATTGGACTCCTCTCGCCTTTGCTTCTGGTGCCTCTCCGACAAGCACTTCATCGCCCGCTGCTCAAATCCCGTCCGCTGTTGTAAGTGCTTCATTGCGGGGCACATTGCTCGGCAGTGCACTGGCCACGCACCCTCCGCCCCGCTGCTCCAGCACCACAACTCCCGCCCACCACCGCTGCTACTTGATCGCACCCCACTCATCACGCAGCTACCACCACTTGCAACCCGTCTCCCTGCTAAGGCTAGGGTTCGCTTCCCCCTCGACGCCCCCGCTGCCACTGTCATCCCTTCCGCCACACCCCCACTCTTGATACCAACGACTGCATCGACTCACCCCCGAGCCTCGCTGTAGCCGGCCATCCGCGCCCCGGTGCTCACCAGAATTGCCCTTTCCGTTTCCTCTGCTGCGGAGAGTAGTGGGCCGGGAAAACTGATGGAGGCTGCCATCATGGACCTCTCGCTCTTGCCTCTAGCCCATCCCTGCGCCCCCGGAGGTGCCATTCGCAGGGTGGAGAGGGCTAGGGCTACGATCGAGTTCTCTGCGGAGATGGCGGCAAACAACCGCATCCTCCTCGACCACGCGACCATCGTCATCGTGGCTGGGGCCAGCACGGACACCTGGCCGAGCTAGATCAAGGAGGCGATACACAACAAGCTGCCGCAGCTGCCCGATGGCGCGCTCTCCATCAACCTCCTCTGCCTCGACGCCTTCCTGCTGCGCTTCGCCTCACCCCAATGGCGCGCATAGCTCGAGGTGAACAAGACCATCCACTGGCAGGGCACGCCTCTAGTGCTCAGGCCGTGGAGTTGGTGCTTCCTCACCGAGATGGTGACCTATCGCTACCGCGTTCGCCTGTTCATCGAAGGCATCCCTCCCTCCACCGTGAACTGCACCAACGTGGTATGGCTGCTCCCCATGTGTCGCTCCCAGACGGTGGCAGTCTCCTCCTCCGATAAGCTCGACTACTCCTACTTCATCATGTATGCATGGGTCATCAACCCCGACCTGATCCCTAAGGTCATTGACCTTGATGCTATGGAGCCAGCGAGCGGCTCCACACCGCTGGACCAGCTCGGCCTGCCGGCTGGTTTCACGGAGTTCGTCGACGACGACCCTTGGGAGGGGTGGGGCATCCCCCCGCAGATGCTCAACTCCTAGGTCCTTGTCCATCTCGACTCCCTCACGCACTACCGCAAGCCCGGCGGGAGTGGCCCCCAAACCAGCCCGATGGGAGAGATGACGATGGCGATGAGCCACGACGCCGCTACCCTTGGCAATCGGGTGTGAAGGATGGTGAAGTCGTTCTTGCAAGACACACCGTTGGGAATGGGTTCCAGCGTCTCGGCGATGTGGAGTCGTTCGGCGGTGCTTGGCGGCGTCTCCATCCCGGTGTCAGCGCTGTCAGAGTAGCCGCTGCACGCTCTGGCGAGCCCTTGCCGCTGGTTGCCGTTGGCCGTGAGCCCCCTACCTTGCTGAGTGGGGCCAGCCGAGTGCGCGGAGGCAGCGACCATGGGCTGGCATCACAGGACCCCACTGATCGGCCTCTGATGGGTGCCATTGCGAGTCCGACCCCCAGTGGCCCTGCCATGTTGCCCGTGATGGCTGAGGATGGTACGGGCGCCACCGCTGCTGTGGTCGGACCGATGGCCCCATCTCTGTCTCCCCCTTTGAGCGCAACAGTGCCCACTCTAGAGAGGAGCGCTGATTGCCCGTTTGGTGATTCGCCTGCTCCCCTGTCTTCAAGTCTGCCGGCCTCCGACAGCCCCCTCATGTCCTCTTGTGGAGACACCTGTTCCTGAGCCACTCCCAGCCAATGAGGCTGCAGTTGACCAGGGTCCTGCCTGCCCCATGGTGGACCCGTCGCTGCCGCTACAGGAGTTGCAGGGCACGCCCCTCTGCCCCGTGGTGGACCTATCGCTGCTGCTACAGGAGTTGCAGGGCACGCTTCCCTGCCTTGCCGTGGGCCTCCATCTGACGCTGCTGGAGACGCCGAGCTCACCAATCCAGGAAATTGCGAGCCGGGGGGTCCCACCCGCCGAATCTCATGCTCCTTTGTCGATGCAGCCTGGGGGAGGAGATACTGCGTCGGCCCCCACCTCTTCCCTGTTGGGACCCACTGCTCTGTCACCGGGGCTGGCCCAAGAAAATGATGGCCCACATCCTGCGCCGGGGGCCTGGGGACGGATATCCTAAAGGGCTTCCTCGAAGCCATGTCCTCTCCGGTCTCGCCCGGGCTGCTGCATGGCCCTGTCTTCAAGCCGGTTGCACCCCCAAGCGCAATGCTTCTAAGGTGGATGCAACAATGGCTGTCAGGCGCAGCGGCAGGCTTGCTAAAAAAGCCACTGGAGACTAGATGATGACCTTGGTTCAGAAGGCGGTGTGCCGATGCCTAGGAGAAGACTATGACGAGCCAATCGAAGGTGTCGCGAGTTTCCTGGCGTGCTACGTGGCCTCTTTCAAGACCCCGCTCACCACTAACCAGATCAAGGCTCTCACTGACTTGGCGCTCAATGCCATGGCCGGGAAGAAGCTGGTGGTGCCTACCGCTGCTCGAGCAGGGCTCCAATCCCTCACTGTTGTCGTTGTACTAGTTTCCATGGATAGTTGCAACTTTCTAATTTGGAAAGTCCCGGGGCTTAACTCTCAAGCGCGTAGACTGGTGGTAGCGGATGTCGTTCGTCAACAATATTGTTCAGTGGTTTGCTTGCAAGAATCAAAGTTGCAGTGTGTGTCGCCCCAAGTTGTAGCTCAAATCTGCTCAAGCCGATGTTCAGAGTTTGTGTACTTGCCTTCGGTGTGTGCTAGTGGTTGGCTGATCACCGCTTGGGACCGAAACCTAATTGCCGTCTCCAATTCCACCTGCAGTCGACACTTCATTACTACCAGCTGCACTAACAAGAGGACGGGCAAGCAGTGGCTGCTGGTCAACGTCTACGGGCCGTAGAGGACGACCGATAAGATCACCTTCCTTACTGATCTTAAGGCCATTGCCTCGGACTATGTGGGGCCAATTATATTTGCTGGTGACTTCAGCCTAATCGCCAATATGTCTAACAGGAGTAACACAAGAGTGTACCGAGGCTTGATGAATGCTTTCAGGAAGTTCATAAATGAAGCGCAGCTCCAAGATATGTATCTAC